AACATAGATGCCGCTGGAGGTCATTATCTTGAGAGAATTAATCCAGCAACAGAAAACCAAATACCACATGTTCTCATATAAAAGTGGGACACAAAGATGGAAACAATACACACGGAATTACTATAGAGGGTAGAGAGATATAAAGGCAAGCGCTGAAAAACTACCTATTGGGTACTCGTCTCACTACCCAGGTGACAGCATTATTTGTACCCTAAACTTCAGCATCACACAGTATACCCATGTAACAAATGTGAACATGCACTTCCTGAATCTAAAATAAGTCAAAAAAATTTTAAAAACAGAAGACATTTAGTATGGTATCATTTTAAAATCAGGCAATCAATGGTCATAACTAAATACAAAATTTAAGATAAACTTGCCTTTTAAACTAAACCAGACCCTTGCAAGAGAGGAGAAAAGAATATCTAATACCTAAATAAACTGAAAACTATCCCATGTTCAATGATTGGAAGGCTATATTGTTAAGATGGCAATACTCCTCAAAGTGATCTAAAAATTCATGCAATCCCTACCAAAATACCAATGGTCTTTTTTCCAGAAATGGGAAAGTTGATTGTTCAATTTATATGCAACTACATGGTGATGAAGCAGCTACCTTTTCTGGGATATACACCCACAGATTTGTCATCACGCCTCAGGAAAATTTAGGACAGGGACACATCTGAGTGGGTTAAGTAGCTGAACATTTAATAGAAGAAAGGAGAGAAAAGAGCAGCTTCTTATGAGACAGGGGGAAGAGGGAAAAGGAGGCAGACCCAGCAGATTTTATAGGCAGGCTGGAAAAGGCAGTATCTGATTTACATAGAGCCCAAAGATTGGTTCAATCAGGTGTGGCATTTACATAGTGGACAGGGAAGGTGGGCCACCTCACTCTAATCTTATTATGCAAATGGACTTTCCACTTGACCAGTACCATCTTGTTTGCTCCTTACTGTACATGTGGCTGGCAAAGGGAAGGGAAGATGGAGCCGCCATTTTGAACATACCTAGTCACAGGTAGCTTTTTCCTACCAGATTCACTGGTGCAGGCTTCCAGCTTGCTGGTCTATGTCTGCAGCTCGATTTTACAGGCTGCTGTTTCCCAGAAGATGATTTGGGGTTGCTTTTCATTAAAAAAGAAAAATCTTACCGAGGACTCCCAAATGCTTACTATCTGCCTAAGTAATTTATTCTTAATTTCTGTATCAGTGAGTTCTCAGTTTCCAACTTCAAAACTTACTACAAGGTATAATAATCAAAAGTGTGGTCCTAGCATAAAGATAGACATCAAGACCAATGGAATAAAACCAAAATCAAGAAATAAACCTAAACATCTATGGCCAATTTAGTTTCATCAAGGGTGCCTAGATCATTCAATCAGAGGAAAGAATCTCTTTAACAAATGGTGATGAGACAATTGGATGACAAAATACAAAAGAATGAACATCAGACCTTCCCTACCTCACTCCAAATGAAAAATATAACTGAAAATGAATGGAAAAACTTAAATATAAGAGCTAAAATTATAAAACTCTTAGAATAAAACATAGAGGTAAATCTTCATGACTTCATATTTGGCAATAGATTCATAAATTTGATACCAGAGTAGCAAAAGAAAAAATAGATAAACCAAACTTCATCAAAATTAAACTTTGTGCATCAAGAATATAATTAGGAATGTGAAGTGACAACTGATAGAATGGGAGGAAATATTTTCATATTATATATATGTAAGAGTTTACTGTTTTGAAAACAAACAATTCTAACAGCTTAAAAAGAAAAATAAAGGCAACTTAATTTAAATAGGAAATGGACTTGAATGACATTTCTCCAAAGAAGATATACAAATGGGTAGCAACATATTAAAAGAAGTTCAAAATCACTGGTCATTAAATACAAGTTAAAACCCCAATGAGAGCTGGGTGTGGTGGCCCTCACCTGTAATCCCAGCACTTAGGAATGCCAAGGTGGGCAGATCACCTGAGGTCAAGAGTTCGAGACCAGCCTGGCCAACATGGTGAAACCCTATCTCTATCACAAATATAAAAATTAGTCAGACATGGTGGCACATGTCTGTAATCCCAGCTACTCTGGGGACTGAGGCAGGAGAATTGTTTGAACCCAGGAGGGAGAGGTTGCAGGGACCTGAGATCATGCCACTGCACTCCAGCCTGGGCACCAGAGTGAGACTCTGTCTCAAAATAAACAAATAAATAAATTCATACTGAGATACCACTTTACATTCACTAGGATTGCTTTAATAAACACAGAAAATTACAAGTATTAGCAATTATGTGGAAAAATAGAAATCCTTCTACATTGCTGGAAGGGATATAAAATGCCACATTCATCGTAGAAAAGTTTGGCTCTTATACAAGAAGATAAACATAAAATTACTGTTTGACCCAGCAATTCAACTCCTGAGTATATACCCAAGAATTATGAAAATATGCCCATAAAGAAACATACACAAATGTTCAAAGCAAGATTATGTATAAGAACCAAAAGTTGGAAAAAATGCAAATGTCCATAAACAGATGAGTAACAATTTGTGATACATGTGCATGGAAAATAAAATATTTTTTATCCAAAAAAAAGAATGAAGTACTGATGTATGCTACAACTTTGAGCCTCCAAAACATTGTAAATGTAAGGACCCTGAAACAAAAGTTCACATATGCTGTGAGTTCTTTATGTATCCATAACAGGCAAACCCATAGAGACAGAAAGAAGATTAGAGGTTATTACATGATGGAGTGGGGGAATGGAGTAATTATTTAATGAATATAATGTGTTTTTATGGTGTGATAAAAACATTTGAAACCAGAGAAAGTTGATGGTTGCACAACATTGTGAATACATTAAATACCACTTAGGTGTATGCTTTCAACTGGTTAATTGTATGTTGTATGAATTTTACTTCCATTTTTAAAATGGCCTAACTCCCTGTTTTACAGATTTAATGCAATCCTATCAAAATCCCCATTGGCTCCTTTGAAGAAATTGACAAGTTAATCCTAAATTTCATATGAAGATTCAAGGGACCCAGAATAGTGAAAACAGTATTGAAAATGGACAACAAAAGACTCACACTCCTTGATTTAGTAAGTTGATATTAATACAAAGGTACAGTAATTAAGACTTCAGGTATTAAATTTTTTTGAAGGCCTTTTCTACATCTATTGCGATAATGATGTGGTTTTTGTCATTGGTTCTGTTTATATGATGGATTACATTTATTGATTTGTGTATGTTGGATCAGCCTTGCATTCCAAGGATGAAGCCAACTTGATTGTGGTGATAAGCTTTTTGATGTGTTGCTGGATTTGGTTTGCCAGTATCTTATTGTGGATTTTCACATTCATATTCATCAGGTATATTGACCTGAAATTTTCTTTTTCTCTTGTGTCTCTGCCAGGTTTTGGTATCAGGATGATGCTAGCCTTATAAAATGATTTAGGGAGAATTCCCTCTTTTTCTATTGTTTGGAATAGTTTCAGAAGGAATAGGATCAGCTCCTCTTTGTACCTCTGATAGAATTTGGCTCTGAATCAGTGTTTTGTTTTGTTTGTTTGTTTTTTGTTTTGTTTTGTTTGGTTGGTAGGTTCTTCATCACTGCCCCAATTTTAGAACTTGTTATTGGTCTATTCATGGATTCTACTTCTTCCTGGTTTAGTCTTGGGAGGGTGTATGTGTCTAGGAATTCATCCATTTCTTCTAGATTTTCTGGTTTACTTGCGTAGAGGTGTTTATAGTATTCTCTGAGGGTAGTTTGTATTTCTGTGGGATCAGTGGTGATATGCCCTTTATCATTTTTACTGTATCTATTTGATCTTCTCTCTTTTCTTCTTTATTAGTCTAGCTACTGGTCTATTTTCTTAACCTTTTCAAAAAACAACTTCTGGATTCATTGATTGTTTGAAGGAGCTTTCGGGTCTCTGTCTTCTTCAGTTCTGCTCTAATCTTAGTTATTTCATGTCTTCTGCTAGTTTTGAATTGTTAGTTCCTGCTTCTCTAGTTCTTTTAATTGTGATGTTAGAGTGTCGATTTTAGATATTTCCCACTTTCTCCTGTGGGCATTTAGTGTATAAATTGCTCTCTAAACACTGATTTACATGTGACCCAGAGATTCTGGTACATTGTGTCTTTGTTCTCATTGGTTTCAAAGAACTTATTTATTTCTGCCTTAATTTTATTATTTACTCAGTATTCATTCAGGAGCAGGTTGTTCAGTTTACATGTTGTTGCGTGGTTTTCAGTGAGTTTCTGAATCCTGAGTTCTAGTTTGATTACACTGTGGTCTGAGAGACTGTTTGCTACGATTTCCACTCTTTTGCATTTGCTAAGGAGTGTTTTATATCCAATTATGTGGTCAATTTTAGAATAAGTGCGATGTGGTGCTGAGAAGAATGTATATTCTGTTGATTTGGAGTGGAGAGTTCTGTAGATGTCTATTTGGTCCACTTGGTCCACAGCTGGGTTCAAGTCCTGGATATCCTGGTTCATTTTGTGTCTCATTGGCCTGTCTAATATTGACAGTGGGTTGTTAAAGTCTCCCACTATTATTGTGTGGGAGTCTAAGTCTCTTTGTAGGTCTCTAAGAACTTGCTTTATGAATCTGGGTGCTCCTGTATTGGCTATATATATATTTAGGATATATTTAGGATAGTTAGCTCTTTTTGTTGCATTGATCCCTTTACCTTTATGTAATCGCCTTCTTCATCTCTTTTGATCTTCGTTGGTTGAAAGTCTGTTTTATCAGAGACTAGGATTGCAACCCCTGCTTTTTTCTTTTCTTTTTTTTTTTTTCTTTTGCTTTCCATTTGCTTGGTAAATCTTCCTCCATTCCTTTATTTTGAGCCTATGTGTGTCTTTGTACATGATATGGATGTCCTGAAGATAGCACACCGATGGGTCTTGACTCATTATCCAACCTGCCAGTCTGTGTCTTTTAACTAAGGCATTTATCTCATTCACATTTAAAGTTAATATTGTCATATGTGAATTTGATCCTGTCATTATGATGTTGGCTGATTATTTTGCCCATTAGTTGATACAGTGTCTTCATAGTGTCAATGGTCTTTACAATTTGGTATGTTTTTGCAGTGGTTGGTACCGATTTTTCCTTTCCATATTTAGTGCTTCCTTCAAGAGCTCTTGTAAGGCAGACCTGGTGGCGACAAAATCCCTCAGCATTTGTTTGCCTGTAAAAAATGATATTTCTCCTTTGCTTATGAAGTTTAGTTTGACTGGATATGAAATTCTGGGTTGAAAATTCTTTTCTTTAAGAATGTTGAATATTGGCCCCTGCTGTCTTTTGGCTTGTAGAGTTTCTGCCGAGAGATCTGCTGTTAGTCTGATGAACTTCCCTTTGTGGGTAACCTGACCTTTCTTTCTGGCTGCCCTTAACATTTTTCCCTTCATCTCAACCTTGGTGAGTCTGATGATTATGTGTCTTGGTGTTGCTCTTCTCAGAAAGTATCTTTGTGGTGTTCTCTGTATTTCCTGAATTTGAATGTTGGCCTACCTTTCTAGGTTGGGGAAGTTCTGCTGGATAATATCCTGAAGAGTGTTTTCCAACTTGGTTCCATTCTCCTCATCACTTTCAGGTACACCAATCAAATGTAGATTTGATCTTTTCACATAGTCCCGTATTTCTTGGAGGCTTTGTTTGCTCCTTTTCATTCTTTTTTCTCTCATCTTATCTTCATGCTTTATTTCATTAATTTGATCTTTAATCTCTGATATTCTTTTTTCTGCTTGATCAGTTTGGCTATTGATACTTGTGTATGCTTCACGAAGTTCTCATGCTGTGGTTTTCAGCTCCATCAGGTCATTTATGTTTTTCTCTAAATTGGTTATTCTAGTTAGCAATTCATCTAACCTTTTTTCAAGGTTCTTAGCTTTCTTGCATTGGGATAGAATATGCTCCTTTAGCTCAGGGAGTTCGTTTTCACCCACCTTCTGAAGTCTACTTCTGTCCATTCATCAAACTCACTCTCCGTCTAGTTTTGTTCCCTTGCTGGCAAGGAGTTGTGGTCCTTTGGAGGAGAAGAGGCATTCTGGTTTTTGAAATTTTCAGACTTTTTAGGTTGGTTTTTCCTCATCTTTGTGGATTTATCTACCTTTGGTCTTTGATGCTGGTGACCTTTGTATGAGATTTTTGTTGATGTTGATGCTATTTCTTTCTGTTCATTAGTTTTTCTTCTAACAGTAAGGCCCCTCTTCTGCAGGTCTGCTGGAGTTGCTGGAGGTCCACTCCAGACCCTCTTTGCCTGGTTATCACCAGTGGAGGCTGCAGAACAGCAAAGATTGCTGCCTTCTCCTTCCTCCGAAAGCTTCATCCCAAAGGGGCACCCACCAGACGCCACCCAAAGCTCTCCTGTATGATGTGTCTGTTGACCCCTGCTGGGAGGTGTCTCCCCATCAGGAGGCTTGGGGGTCAAGCACCCACTTGAGGAAGCAGTCTGTATCTTAGCAAAGCTCAAGCACTGTGCTGGGAGATCTGCTGATCTCTTTAGAGCTGGCAGGCAGGAAAGTTTAAGTCTGCTGAAGGTGTGCTCATAGCCGCCCCTTCCCCCAGGTGCTCTGTCCCAGGGAGATGGACACTTTATGTATAAGCCCCTGACTGGGACTGCAGCCTTTCTTTCAGAGATGTCCTGCCCAGAGAGGAAGAATCTAGAGAGGCAGTCTAGCTACAGTGGCTTTGCTGAGCTGCAGTGGGCTCCACCCAGTTCTAACTTCCTTGTGGCTTTGTTTACACTGTGAGGGGAAAACTACCTACTCAAGCCTTAGTAATGGTAGATGCCCCTCCCCTCACCAAGCTCCAGCATCCTGGGTCAACTTCAGACTGCTGTATTGGCAGCAAGAACTTCAAGCCAGTGGATCTTAGCTTGCTGGGCTCCATGGGGGTTGGATTCATTGAGCTAGACCCCTTGGCTCCCTGGCTTCAGCCCCCTTTCCAGCGGAGTGAACAGCTCTGTCTCACTGGTGTTCCAGGTGCCACTGGTGTATGAAATAAAGAACTCCTGCAGCTAACTCGGTGTCTGCCCAAACAGCTGCCCAGTTTTGTGCTTGAAACCCAGGACCCTGGTGCTGTAGGCACCTGAGGGAATCTTCTGGTCTGCAGGTTGCTAAGACTGTTGGGAAAGCATAGTATCTGGGCAGGAATACACAGTTCCTCATGGCAGGGTCTCTCACAGCTTCCCTTGGCTAGGGGAGGGAGCTCCCTGAGCTTTCCAAGTGAGGTGATGCCCCACCCTGCTTCTGCTCACTCTCCGTGGGCTGCACCACTGTCTAACCAGTCCAAATGAAATGAGCTGGGTACCTCAGTTGGAAATGCAGAAATCACCGACCTTCTGCGTTGATATCACTGGAAGGTGCAGAACAGGGCTTTTCCTATTCTGCCATCTTTATTGTTCAGGTAGATTATATTTATCTAAACAATTGAGTCTATGTAGTCTAAATATTTAACAATTTAATTTTATATTTTTTATGATGCTTACTTGATATTCATCCATACAACAAAAACTTAAAATGCTTCTCAAGCATTACTCCTTGACCACTTAAACATCCATAGTAAACCCAAAACTAGTCAATGAATCACAAATACGCAAGCAGTCACATAACTAAGCTGTTGTTAACTTTTTACCTTCTCCATTTTGATCAGGAAGCAATCAATAAAGTCCCGAGGGTTGTTCATGTCCATTGATTCTTGGTGTTCTTTTACTTTCTCCAAAATATAACTTTTCACAAAAGCAATGTTTTTAAGTAATTTGTTATGGGCTCCCGGGAAATAATCAAGGAAAGGAGGAAAATTATTGCAGATCTAAGGGAAAACAATAATTTATTAAATTAAAAGCATTTAATAAAAGCTTACATACCATATACCAAGCTCTGGTTGTAATTTAAATATATAAATATAAATAAAATATATTCTATATCTTGATGGAGAAATTTTTACTGTACATATGTAGTAATTCTCTGATTATAAAAGATTTGAGGAAGAAAATTCTTACCAGAGAATCAAAGATGATAATCATTTCCTAGACTCATATCTCCTTTTTATAGTACAAAAGCATCTTTATATTAATTCTCTTACTTTTTACAATTCTTCTCTACAATCTTGAAATATAAGATGGTATCAATTACTACATTCACGTTTTGTAGATGACAGCATAGGTTAAAAGAATTTGGAAAATCTGATTGATAGTACAAAGCTTGTCCCTACTATATTGATTTCTATCAAGCAACCTCTGAAATGTAATTAGTATTTTAGAAGTTGGAGGGGTTCAAAGATGCTTCAAATTCCAACTGTGCACCAGAGCAGTTAAATGACTTCTCTAAAATCACACAGTTATTATCTAGGCAGAGTATAAAACATGCCAGTTCAGCACAGGGTAAAAGTGT